GGATCAATTGGCAGCTTTGAAGTGGGTGCAGCAGAACATCGCCAGCTTTGGAGGAGATCCAAGGAGGGTTTCTGTAGGAGCCGATCGTGGCGGGGCTGATGTTACCAGCATCCACCTGCTCACACAGACAGTGGGTATGGACCTCTTCAGAAGAGTGTTGTTGCTGGTAAGTCCCATTCCTGCCACTTCAGCGTCGTTGTGAAAGGATGTTGCTAGAGACATGAGGAAGCTGCAGTGTGTGGGTGCTGGTTTTATTTCATTCTTACCTTGGCAGCACTAACAGGGCAGTTGTTGCTGTGGTTATTTTTCATCTCACCTGCGACTGCTGTCTCCAGGAGCTCAGTGCTTCACGAGGATGTACAAGAGATGCTCTTGGGTGTTTGATGTAGTCATAGTAAGAATCTGGATTTCGTCACTGTGGGTTTTTGTGTATTGTATAAATAGCCTTGTTTCATAACTCACAGGTACAACAGGTTAGTTTCCATTCCATAAATACAGTTGTTGATCAGCAGTTTTTGGACTCTAAAACCGACGAGCCAAACATCCGCGTGTTTAAAGCATCCAATCTTTTTATCAGATCTCATGACAGATTTCATTTCAAAGAAAAAGCAAGTTTCAGAGAGAGAGTAAAAATCTGTTTACCAACGGACTTGTCTGCTGTCAGCTCAGACCATTTTCACTCACCCCAAGAGATTCATAGTTTTACAGCCTTTCCTGTGTCAAATCTCAAGACTTTGAGATCATCTTTGTCAAGCGTCGATACTACTGTTGATATTTACAGCCTCAGATGATAGTAGTATGCTCTGAAATGAGGCTTAATCTTCAGTGCAGGTTTATATATCCAGTAGAAATGGTGCTTGGACAAAATAATCTCTGCTAGCAGTGTTGACTTGGTACAGTAAGCAGAGAAGCAAAATTTTTGGGCCAGGAAACCTGGGGCACAATTAAATGAAATCTTGCCTTGAAAATAATGACATCTGTATTCACTACTTGATTTTTCTTTAGTGTGTTCTTCCTGTGCCAGGAAACATAACCTGCCTTTTGCACCCCCATGTCTCAATAAGATTATTTTGATTGCATCAGTCTAGTGTGGAAGGTAAAAGACTTCACTGAAAATTGCTGTTCAGTAGTTGATTTTTGTTATGCCATTCTCAGATAATTTCAAACTCAGATAGTTTTCAAATCCTGGAATGTTTAGGGCTGGAAGAGCCCTGTAAAGGTCATCTAGTCCAACCCCCCTGCAGTGAGTAGGGACATCTTTGACTAGATCAGGTTGCTCAGAGCCCCATCCAAGCTGACTTTGAATGTTTCCATGGATCTAGGTTAGCTAGTAAACACAGAGTCCTTTTCTCCCAGACTACACTTTCATCCTACTCTTTCTCTGAATTCACAGACCCTTTCATGACATGGCTCAGGATGGGGCTCTGGGAAAGCTGTAACAGGATGCAGTACAATTTGCCAGTTGAGCAGCTGATGAAAGGGAAATGCAAGGACCCCTTTGGTTATCGTTATCTCTGGAGTGTAGTTCCACATTCCATCTTTTCTTCTACAAAGAAAGTTTGAATTCCTTCTTTCTCCTAGAGCAGAACATCAAATAATGGGAAACTGTGGCAAGTGCAATGAACAGACAGGCACATTGGTTCTTCCCACTAACCTAGTGTTTGTAACAACAGTTTTCTTTCTGTGACTGTTCAGATCACTGTCTTGGCAAAAACAGGACCTCCACTTCTTTCAAAGTAACATTAAGTAATTGTCTTTAAAATGCCATGGTGGATTTAATTTTCTTGTAAAATGCGCTGACAAAATAAAAAGCAAGCAGTAATAGCAGTGGCTTAAAAATATACAGTCTCTCTTTTTTTATTTTTCTTATTTTTGGTACTGAAATGATGCAGAATGCAACTGTTGGTTTACTCAGGTTTCTCACCTAGACTTCCTGTAAAGGATAGGTCTTGTTTCCATTCCAAGACACAAAAGTCATTGTGTAGTTTTAATTTTACTGTAAAGAAAGGAGCTGCACATAGACTAAGAATTGTGAAACTGATAATATATACCAGATATAGCTTTCATCTGGGAAAATGCCATGAAACAATGCAGCTTTTCTTCAAAAGTTAGTTTTGCCCTCCTTATTTGAGTCTTTGTCATGCATTAAAAAATGATACTGTTTCTAGCATGCAGAGAGGTGTGATGTATGAAAATTTCTCTACAAGAAAATGTGCACCTGAAATAGCAAAATGCTTTTGAGTCTCCTGTGTCTGTCCTGTAATAGGTTTTGTGTGGAACAAATCTGAAAGAAGATTTTACAAAATCAGTGCAAAGCTGTCATGGGGACTTATTATAGGTTATCTCATCTTTCAGTAGTATGATTAGAAAAAAGTAATCTTGGTGATTATGGTCTTGGTTTAAATAATTTAAGAGCATTAACCTGGTATTTGACTTCATCTTTGGTTAATTGATTTATTTACCACTGCAATTTTGATGTAGAAGAGTGGGTCAATGGTATGGATTGCTTCCACCTCTTGCAGGAGGCTGGAGAGGACATATACATGAGGTGTCCCATCCAGGCATTCCCTGGCACATCTTAGGAGAGCTCTCAGGCCTCCTCTGCCCAACACAAAGAAAGACAACATGTCCCTCTTGGCCATGGAAGCAGGTCAGCTGATGGTGGAAAGAGGAGATGATTGAAAACTACTAACACTACTGAAAACTACTGCACTCAAGTGCAGAGCTGTCTGACATGTTCCCTATTTCTGGTCCTATGATTAGCTACTCTTCCCCCTCTTCCCATCCCCTTATTTTTTCCCCTTCACCAGCCTTATTCCCTCTCAAACCAACCAACCACTTCTGGTTACTTTTTCTCCATTGGTCCCAGTTTTGCTACATCCCTACCCAGGTTTGGTATTTCTGGTATGGTTTCCTAGGTGATGACAGACTTGTACAGAATCACCTCAGTACTGTCTGCCTTTGCAAGATGGTACTTCCCAAAAGGTCCCCGATATGATCTTTCTGTTGTCTGTGAAATCCAGCCATCCTTTAAGGCAGTGTTCACAGATTTTGTCACCTCACATCATTACTACGAGGGTGACCGAGCACTGATGAGGATGACCTCCAGAGGTGCCTTCCAACCTGAACTGGTCTGTGATGGGGTGAACGTCTTGTCACCTGAACATCTCTTATCCTCTTCTCATGGAGCATACTCCAAGTACTACCCAGTTACATGGGCTCAGACTCTTCTGTCCATCAAAGATGCTTTCTGGCAGTGTCAGTTCAAGACTGGGCATTTGTACCAGTTGCACGCTAGGTTTTCCATTTTCTGAAAGCAATACAAAGCAACTACTGGATATTATTTTAATGAATAAATACAATGACTTAGAAATCTGTAATGCTCCCTGTACACTGGATAAAATGCAGTCACCATAACATATTAACGATCAGTAACAGTAATGAGATTATACAGATGCCTGGAGTTCCTGAGTTCATTTGGTTTTGTGGTGTTCAATGTTTACCAGCCAAATTACATTCATCCTTTACGTTCTGAAATATGTTTAAATAGGCTGTGAAATATTTTGATCTCTGAATGTCTCTTGCTAGTGCAAATGATCTGTTACAAGATCTAAAGATCACAAAGATTTGTGCTAAGAGGTATTACAGAGGAAATATATAAAAACCCAATTCCCCACCTCTCCAAACCTTCATTACTCAAATCTGTGCAAAAAAAAAGTATGACAGAATATTAGACTGAAAATATCTTGGCTTGAGAATAAAGATTGCAGCATTTTACAGCCCCAGATGTGAGTGACTACTTGATTTAGAAAGCAGTCACAAGTCAGGTTCAAAGGACGATGCTAGCTGCTCTTTTATCATTTAACAAAGGTCACATACACGTACAAAAATTCTCCATGAAATTTCAGATAAGCTCGTTACAAATCTTTAAGCAGTTTGATGAAATGTGTCATTGCTATTTGACATAACTCTCTTCAGACAAAACATTCAGAAAACTCTTTGACATCCACTGTTGCCGATTCACTTTCTTAGTTTAATTATTCTTAAAAGCCGCTATTAATATAAATATTACATATAAATATGTGCGTGCCTTCAGGACATCAGGTTAAAATCTGATCCTCTACACATAAAAAATGTTTTGCAAGCCTACCTTTGCAGTGAGGCCTGTTACCACATTTTGTTTTTCACATAAAAACCCCTCTGTTATATATCTGCTAGACTATATGCAGCCAAGGTATGGTTTTGGGTATGCCTGTACTGTTTTTCTCAGTGAGTTAAGCCTGTCTCAACTTTGTGACCACTTTGTGACACTACAGGCCATTACCAGCAGTTGAATTAAATGCCACTTAACGATTTTAAAGTTTCCCCTAAAAGGCAAAAATGACAGAAGAATGGAATCAATATAATCAGGTGTTCCTTGGATGCTGGATGTTAGACACTTTTTTGGGGTTACTGAAAGCTTTCTGACCTATTGTCAATGATAATGAATGATTCTGTCTAGAGAAGGCAAAGGCTTCTTTTCTCAGTGTAGGCAGGTTCTGTAAAGAAGGTTTTCAGCCTTGTGGAGAATACCCAAGTAAACCTTGTTACTAAGTTCTTGAGCTGTAGTTAGTCCCTTCTTATGCAATCACCTTTGTACAATGGTGGGAATGCCCCTTACTGGAAAGTCATCTGTCTCACTTGGCTCTTGACTTAGAGTCTATCTCAGTTTATCGTGCTTGTGAGCAGGTTGTCATTTCTGATGCCCTGGGGAGGTTCCCAGCCTATGCTGTGGCTGAGATAGCACCCTTAGGAAGGTCTCTGATTAATGGTCAGAAGGGGAAGTGCAGAAGCATTGCCAACATTGTCCATCAGCTGGTGTGCTTCTGTCTCTCAGCTGTTGAAGGACTGCAAGACCACAGGATGCTCTGTGTTTCTCTTCTAACCCCTCAGTTTTGGGTTTTTTTTTTGGTTGTTTTGTTTTGGTTTTGGTTTTGTTTTTTTTTCACTCTGTCTTACATCTAGTCTTCATAATATGTAGGTGGCAAGTGAAGGACACTTTTGCGTTTGCTCCCTGTGTATATAAGAGATTGGGCTTTCTTCTTTCTGGAACTTGCAAAAGAAGTGCTGTCATCTCCTGTTAAGGAGAGGTAGGAAGCGATACTTTCCCTCAGACCATAGCTGAGACAAGAATCATCCATTGCTGCCAGGGTGCTTTCAGTATCTTCACTCACCTCCAGCCTTTAAAAGAACAAAATTTTGTTATCATTCCAGCTACTTGAACTGAGCCTATTAATATAATAGTAACAGTTGCTGTACCAAATTATTTTAATTTTGTTGTATAAAAAAAAGTCCTGTCTCATAAATCACCAAACATTTCTGTCACTTAGTGATTTTTCCAAAACAATCAGTACAACAGTAGTATCTAAACGTTTTTTGGCATCCGAGAAGGAAAGAATATCTTTATTTTTTCTCTCTCTCTTCTTAACCTGTAGGAAAAATAGCCTCAATACTGCAGAATTTTGTTGCATTTGTAAGCAAAATGAATATGCTTTGTGAAAAAAGCTAGTAGAGGGAAATTTACATTTCAAATATAAGAGGTGCTTTTGTTTCTGAAGGTGTTTTTTTCACCAGCTTCTGAAACCTGACCTACTTTCTCCAGTTGCAGTCATTATATTAGAAATCTCATGAACCTCAGGTAGGGCTGTGTGCCGAGAGAGACACAGCAGGAAAGAGACATGCTGGGATAATGCATTCATGGCACTCGTGCTGCTTCAGGAGGAGCCATTTCTGACTGTTGGGGCTCCCCTGTAAGCTACTGCATGGTAGTGTGCCATTGGTGGTGGATCTGACTGGGCTTTATGGTCTGGCTTTTACTCCTGCCCCCTTGGTGGAGAGGACTCACAAGTCCCTAAGGGAGTGTTTGTGTGGCCACACTCATAGCTGGATAGGAGAAATGACTGAATGTTAACTAGAATTTCTTTCAAAGTTAGACCAAGATTATCAGTTAGAGAGCTGGACATCCAGTTTTCCTGGTTAATGTGCCGTCAACAGCTTTGAAGATTCTCTAACCTTTAGAACTGATCTCAGGAGAAGGAAATGGCTGTTCCTGCTGTGTTGCAAGTAGAAGTATATACAAGGATGGAAAAACCCCTTGATTTTTCTGGCAGCCTGTGTGTATGTGGTACCTGTGAATATTTCTCCAGCTGAAGTTTTTAGTCCTCATCACGACAGGAGGAACTTGATCCGTTACACTGTTGTTAGTGCACTGGGTAAGACAAGGGGTTGTAAGGACACAGCAGAGACCATCAGCAACCTCTGAACAGAGAAGTGAATACACAGACAGTTAATCTTTGCTCACTGTTATCGTCACTATTTTCCTTCCCCAAGGCATGCTCCAATCAACAGTTTTTGGACACAGTAGTAGTCAGTCAATAACTTCTGTGTTCTCAGGAAGGACACTGTAACACAGGCCTGACTTTTTCCTTTCCTTGTACCTCTGCCTTTTAATTTATCATGGGATGTATTTCCCACAGTACAAGTGGGGAACTGAGGCACAGAAAGATAAAGTGGTTTACCCAGAGCCTAGAAGGAAGTTTGTGACAAAGCAGGGACTTCAACCCAGCTTTTCTGAGTCCTCAGTGAGTTCTGCTTTTGCCTCCCATTGTCTCAGCCATGCAAACGGAGTGTTAAACAGATGCAAGATGCAACCACTCATATTGGATTGCATGTGCAACTATTTTGCTGGAGAACATGGCTGTTGAATGAATCAAGGTTCCTGTTACATTCATCTATGTTTCTTCTCTCTAACCTCTTCTCCTTTCTCCACTAGGAACATTACATAAATTCTTCTGCCCAAGTAGAGAACATCATGGCTGAATGCTTATGTTTTACATATCAGAGCCTTATTTCAGGGTGAGATTTCATATCATCTCATGGGTGAGGGTAGAAGAAGGAGAGCTAAATCTCGCTTTGTCTCCTCTTACACCTGTAACTCAAGTAAAAATGGTAATTGTTATAAGTTTTGGGTTCCCCCCTGAATTTTAGGCTTTGATTGATTACCTCTTTCTCAATGGAGAAAGGTGTCAGCTAAAAGAAAATAAATCCTCTCCAAATTGTCATTCCTCTGTTTGTATTATAGGACATGAAAGTTTCTCTCACATGTTTTGAATGTGAATATGGCTTTTCTCCTCAGTTTATCAGAGCACTCTTTGGCCAACACAATTTCAATTTACCTATGAAATATGCAGATCTGGTAGCTTTACACTTTTAAAGTTACAAAGTACTCATCACTAATTAAAGCACAGGACATATTGTTCTCTTGTAACTTTTATGCAATTAATTTACTGCAATCTTCCTTCCTTCTTTTAAAATGTTCTCATTTTAATGGATGGTAACTGCAGCCACTTAATTGTGTTGTTTGTCAAGTTATCTCTCTGACATGGGTGAAATTTCCATAAATCTGGAAAACTGGCATTGAAACAGATGTCATCTGCTGGACTGATATTAGTAAAAATGACAACTGAAACTACATTTGAGCTAACAGCTTGAGCCCCTTGATATAAGCTCTGCTGATAAAATGCAGCCAAACTCTTCTAAAGTAATAGGGAAGAAGCTAACAACATTTCTGAGAATTTTCTGCTGCAGATAATGTTGTGTGAGATAGTGGTTCCTAAGAGAAACGTGATTGCAGAACCTGATCTTGCATGTCCTGATGCTATCTGCCTGTCTATGTAGTAAATAAATAAATGGCAGGCATGCTCATGCTGGTAAGCAAAGTGAGCCAGGAGCTGAACTCTGGACTTGGGACCCAAAACCGTGATTTGCATCTGTACAGATTAACATTTTCACTTTATCTGTGCTCTGAGAGGGGCTGGGCATCCCTGGCCCACACTAACACCCAGATTATATTTGAAAATTGTCTAGGAAGTGCTAGATGCCAGTGTTCGGACCAAATAGTGCTAATGACCTAGGCACACAATATCATATACCCATATGGACAGAGCCTATTTGTCTTTATTTAGCTGAGTTCTTGGGTTGATTTCAACTGTACTGTTACGAGTAGTATATTTGTATTTAGGATCAAAAATAATGTAAAAGATATAAACCAAAATACTTTCCATTACTTGTTCTGCAACAGTGGTTGCAAGTCTCAGACACAGGCAAAACTTTTTGTTCTGCACCTTGGCTAGATAGTTTCACAGTTGCCACTGGAAAATATGCTTATTCTGCAGCTCTTTTTACCTGAGTAGTGATTCACAAGGTCTTCAAGGCACTGAAAGGTTTGGCGTGGGGAGATGTAATACCAGTTGTTTGGGAGGCGGAAGATCCTGTAATGTTTCACTTGCCTGTGCCGCACCGACAAGGAGTACAGCCCTGGAGAGAGAGCAGAGCTGAGCACACCAAAGTGTGGCCCTAGTTCTGGGTGGATACCAGGGACCATACCCAGAGCATGTAAGATGTGGTGCCATGATCCCAAAAGTCCTAGAAAGGTCTTAAAAATACTGGGTGGCCATCCTAATTTCTATTTATAGAGTATACTTTATATATATACCTAAGCATAACAAAGAGAATAAAAAGCCCAACATCAAGGCCTGGGATTTTGTTTGGATTTCAATGTCTGGTGTGGTTTTCTTTGGGTTTGGTTTTGTTTTGGGTTCTTTTTTGGTATGGGATTCTTTTAAATGGTATAAAGAAATAGACCTTTACAGAAGTTGTTTGCCTTTCTCTGAAGAGGGGGACCAGACCCGTGTGCTGGATGCTGATTTAGTCATCCCCCAGTCATGCAGTAGCTGGTACCTGATAATGCAGTTCTGGCAGGAGGTGCTAACTTGATTTCCCTCCTTCTTTGTTTAAAACTCTTGTGCAGCATTTAGTTGATAAAGACTGAATGTCGTTCCTAAATTTCTTTGAATTTAGTATAGGTATTAGGAAACTATTTGGCCTGTGGTATGCAAGAGGTCAGAGTAGGTGATTTATTATTCCTTTCTATCTGTAGTATCATATTAGGATGTGTTCATATGCTTCAGAAAAGGGGAAGGTAGCATGCTGCACAGTGGGAGGTGTATTCCCATTGAAGAGAATAAAAGTATGAATTGTGTACAGTGCAATTTCCATGTAGAAACAGAATTAGAAAGAAAATAAAACTGAAGGCATGTCATTTTTAAAAAATAAATCAAAGAGCCAGCTATTTATACAGGAAATGCACTTACGAGCCACCGCCACTGCTTGGTGGGTATTTTATAGCTTCTTCAAGCAATCTTTTGTGGACCAGGGCAAAGCTGTGACTTTGAAAAGTCCCACTGCCTGGTAAGCTTTGCATGCAACCAAAGTAAATAACGGTGTTTAAACAAGTGTGTCTTGTTTGTGCCGATGGCTGTGGAACTTTCCATGGCCATCACTACCCCTGTTTCCAGCACAGCTTGTAACATAGGTGACTGGTGAAGACTGGCACGCTGCACTGGGTGCCTCTGTCTTCCCACTGTATACATTTTCTAGTTTTGGAGTGATCTATATGAAGCAGGACAGGGAGTGAATTAAAGAGCTGTAAAACTGCTAGTGCCTAACATCAAGGGAGAAAAAAAAAATCGTATTTTCTCACCTTTCCTAGTTTCACTCTCTCTGATCATGAAGGAGCCGACCTTGGTGTTGGGTAGCTGGAGAAGTTCCTCTGCTTTTTCTCTTCCCAGCCCTTCAAATAACCAGCTGTGAAGCAGGAAAAAACAAATTCTGAAATTTGGACACCAGTGAAACAGAAAGCAGCATGTGGCCATGAAAGTGCAGCATTAGCCAGGAAAAGTGACTGCAAAAATAACACTGTGGCTTTCTGTAGTTATCCTCTCAACTATGTCCAGGCATATTTCCCCAGTTTATGGAGAAAATCTTGCTCTCTTTGAGTTTCATTAACTTTTGTGAGACTAAGAGAAGAGTGATTAAGGTTTAGAGTTATTAGGGAAAACAAAACTTTTCAAGTTGCCTTGATCTGAATTGTTGGGGACGTACGCACATGGTATATTGAAGGTATACCTGTGACATTAGTTAAATCCCTCTTTTTCATTTAAAACACCTCTGTTAACCCCAACATGTACTTTAATGTATTGTAAATAAACCCCAAATAAAATACAGTATTCTTATTATGCTAGGAAACAGTCCAGCCATTTGAGTTAATTTGCTTTGTGAATAAGAGAAAGTGGAATTAGTTCTACTCATCTTCACCATAGTTTGATGCAGGGCTGTATTTTGCCACAACGCGTATCTAGCCATGTAACTGAGCGTGCTCAGCTGGTGTAGGAGTTACTGGCACTTTAATTTAACATTGTTCTTGCATCTTTGATCCAGTCTGCTATCAGCAAAATGGTTCCGGGCAAGATTCAGACAGGACCTTCTGTTACTGTGTCTGTGCCCTGTCTTTGGGAAAGCAGCTCTGTTTCAGGAGGATGTAAAAGCATAGTAAAATTCAAGCACTTGCAATAAATCACAGTGAAGTTTACAGTTTATATGCTTGAAATTAAACAGCTATTCAAACTTTTGCCAGAAAACTTTTAAGTTTGTGCTTTAATGTTTTTTTTCCTGACTGGTGTCTAGGGCAACAAGAAACCTCTGCACCTTCCTTAGCTCTTCCAGTGTGAGAGTTTACATTCTTGAATGACTTATTAGTCTTTCTATTTGTTCTTTTTGGTCTTTGCTTCATGAGCAACCCTAGCTTAGATTTTATTCTTTGTAAATATTAAAAGTTCTTTCTAAATAGGGTCTCTTTATTAGTGTCTTAAAATTAGAGATCAATCCATGCAGAAGAAGTATTTTAGATATATTGCATGACATTTGAGGGGTTGTTGGCTCCTTCCAGCACTTAAAACTAAGATTTTCCTTTTCATATAATATAAATTTATATGTGGATTTGATGCTCTCAAATTTCAAAGAAGCTATTTTAGACTGTCAATAAATAAAATTTCTGTCTCTCTAGGCAGTATTGACATCGTTTTGGTTACACACTGAATAACTTATCAGGGCAGTATATATAGAAATGTAGTGTTGAAAGGCTGCAGGAAGAGCATTTACTTACCCATGGTAAACCTTTGCTACGTATTTTCCTGGAATATAATTTTCTCGACCTGTTGTAAGGGAATGAACTCTCCACCAGCCTCCCTCACTGTGAGAAAGCAAGAGAAGGGGTATTTTCAGATGTACGTTCAGAGCTTGTCCTCATTTTAGAATATAGTTAAAACATACAGATTTTCTTGTAACCTTCTGTTTGTGTTCCTGAATCTATGTATTCAGAAGAGGTCCCAAGTTTGTTTCATTTAGAATAGTTCCATTTCTAAGCCTACATCAGGAATAGATTTGGACACAGAAAGAAACTACATTTGTTCCATTTAAATTACGTAAGTAATAAAATATTTTTCTGCAGTTAAAAGAGGAAGGGTAAATACTCAGTGGTTAAACCATGCTGTGTTCTGCCTTCCCACAGCTAGACTTGCACTGGTATCCAAGATACTCAGCTTGTGTCTGAATATTTTGTGTCTGGACAGCCCTGTAGTTGGTCCTGTATCATTACTCCTGTAGTTACTCTTGTGTAGAGATACCTAGAAAATGGGTCCTCTCTGCCTGGGAATAGGTTTTCGGTCTAACAGAACTTGATTCATGTTTTAGCCCTTTCCTTCTCTTCAATGAGTTGCTGACCAGCCTCCAATAAAAAAGACCTCATAGATGAAACTAGGTGACTAGAGATATGGTTTTTTCACTGCCGTATTTTAGGTTCTTTCTCTGATACTGAATGCTGGCTTTGGCTTTTGAATTCCTTAGGAAGGGCAAGGTAATAAGGATTTTCACAGGGATACTGTGGAACTTTAGTAATTAGTGCAAGGATGCTGATGACTGATGGATTCTCTCCACCTTTTCCTTTGAATCGAAATAATAGCGTGTCTTGTGTTTGAATGCTGTTTTTTTGTGAATGTTCATATAAGTACTCCCAAATAATGGCCAGACTGCAGGCCAGAGTCTCAGTGTATGCCAAAACAGCTGAGCTGAAAACACTTAGGTTAAACCTTCTGAGATATAGCCACTGGGATCATGGTCCAGAATGTATGCGCTGAGGTAAAAAGGGAAGTGTCTACTGCTCTGAGCTGGCAATTTCAGGTCCTCACAAGTTTTGTTTGTGAGTTCCCAGCTAACATGAAGTTATCTGTAAGAAATTTAGGTTATTTTGGCTTTTTTCCCCGCAATTCTCCCAGACAGAACCAAGAATTGCAGTAACAAAAAACCTGAGAGACTCAGCATCTTGGTCCCTGCAGGCTGTAATACTGCTAACCCTGAAAAATCCCTATGACAATTAAAAGTCCCAAAGCAGCACATCTCTCCCAGGACAGGAGCCACAGAAATTGTATGAACTGGGGAGAGCACTGGAAGACATCTGGTTTGATGACTACCAGTTAAATACGGTTGTTCATCTCGTAATGAAAGGTGCCTGACAAGTGCGGAGAGTGTGAGACTGTGCCAGTGGTGCTTATCTAATCCTGCCAGGCCACAGCACTCACAAATATCTGTGAGGAGCTGTATTTCATATGGGGTTCCATAGCTCATGTTCCTGTCAGGATTGTTGGGGCTGGTTGCTGTGACACATAATTGCTTTGGTAGAAGGCTGACAAACTGCTGTTATAAGAGCAGTATGTGCTGCCTGCTCATGCTGGCTTCTCTGTGGTGACTCCTCATCCCTCATGCCTGCCGTGTTGCTCTTCTCTTCCACTGCATTTTGCTTCTCTGAATGATTTGAGAAATAGATTATTCCTACGGTTTATATGCAGCGAGAATCTGCAGGCAAACAGTTCCTGTTAACATCAGCACATACGCCAGCAGGGAAGAAGAGGTCCTTCATCAGCACACTGTGAGCACATAGAGCATTGGAGTATCTTGTCTTCTGTGGAGAAGCTGATTCAAAATAGGGAGAGGAAAGTTCCCATCAAGGCTTACTTTGGCTCTCATCTACACTTTGGAGAAACTCTTGATCACTGCACAACAGACAGGGATAACAGAACCTGCTGCTACAGGAGCCTAGTTCTTTTAGGAGTTGTTTGTCCAGCAGATGATACTGTGCAGCACCTCTATGCATATGATATGCCACGCATACAATTCCCATTGATATGGGCATACGTAGTTATGTGGCGCTGTGAGGGCTCGTAGCTGATGGAAGCAGAGTGAGGCTTTAAGCTGGAATTTCCAAGCTAAAGCAATTGTTGTACCGTGTCGTGTGTGTTACGCAAAGGTTTACACAGCTAGAAGTTACCAGAGAAGAATTCCCCTGGTTTAGGGAAGCTCTCCATCAGCAGAAAATTCATCTGGTGGTATTGTCTGAGCTTTGTGACCTCTAGTTTCAGGGAGGCAGGGAAAGAACTTGTCAGCAAGAACAGAACTGCAGCCACTCTGGGTCAGACAAAAGGTCTGTGTAGTCCCATGTCTTGTTGCTGACAAAGGCCATTGTAGGTCAGAGTGGCCTGGAGAAGAGTCTGAGAATTCATCAAGCATCTGTGATACTTCTTTTGAGTACTTCTGTCCTCCAACCATTTGATGCTCTGACTTCCCTAGACAGACAATTTTAAAAATTAATTTAGAAATCCTCAGAGGATTTCTCTGCTATGAATGTGCCTGATCTCCCCTTGAATCCATCTTCTGCATCAGCTGCAAAGAATGAAATCTTTCAAACCTGTTTAAGCAGTGCAAACAGGGGCTGTGGTGCTGATTAACTTCTAGGAGGTCACTGTGTGCTGCTACAAGTTGTCATAAAAAAGTATCAGGGCTGATGGGTTCCATTTTCCAAGTGTGCTCACTCTTGTCTGAGGCAATATTTGCACTATGCATAGGGTCAGTCTGATCTAGTCCTCTTAAGCCTCCTTTCTTCTGGGGTCATAAATTATTGAGTGGAACTAGCCGGGAAATTCAGAAATCCATAAAAAAATTAAGAAAAAAAAAAAAAAAGGTTGTTTAAATTTTATTTTTGTTAGAGTTGCCTTAAATCTAGAGTGAAATTCTAAGACGTAATCATAAAGGAGTTGTTAGTCAAAATGGGTGGGAAAGAAAATGAGTGACACACCTGACACAGAGAAATTAAGAGTAATATTCCTTTTCCATGTGATTCAAATATTTTTGCTTTTACTATTTGCCACTAACATGGGGGGGAATACTTTCTCAAAATCATTCTTTAAAAGAGAATTCTTTTTTGAGTCCTACTTTAGAATAGAGTCTGAATCCAGCTTCAGAAACCATGTCAGAGGAATCCAGGGATAACAGAACAATCTGAAATCCCAAATCCTTAAACTACAGGGAAATTCACACCATGGCTAATCATCCTTCCTCGAAAATTCTGAACTCAGTTCATTTTGCTGGACTACATCCCATTTGGGCCACGCACATAAAACAGGGCTTTGTATCAACTGTAACTGTACCTAATTTGGAAAAAAAAACCCAAACCATGGATCAACTTACTCTGATAGCACACGTAGTTTTTCCCCTACATGAAATATAGGTTGGCTTATGTCTGCTGAAGGGTAGTCATAGAGGACAGCAAGGAAATCACTCTCCTGACCTGTAAAAGAAGAAAGATGATGTCACTTAAAACCAACATAGAGTTCTGAAGCAGAAATGGATTTTTCATTGTGTATGTTTTACATAGCAGGTAAAGTGTGGGAAGCAATCTGAAATGTCAGTTGGTAAACATAAAAAGCTGAAGATGTGCCTATAACTTTTATAAGAGAATTGTGAAGATACTAGAAATGAAAAAAAAAAAGTCATTTGGTTAATTGTAAGCAACTAAATATAGATCACATTTTCTAGTAATTACCATATTTAAAGGACATATTCACTTTGAAACTAGAAAAATTGGTAAGTATTTATAGTATTAGGAAGTAACCCAGTTTGATTAATGCCACTGTCTCTAAATGCCTCCAGCTACAATTTTAAGCCAAGCTGGTGCATCACATTTAAGGAAAGGAAGATGCATGTTGAATTGTTCCATCATTTAACACCACTGATACTTTTCAAAGGTAGGAAATCAGTTTCAGTCAGTTAATCTGGCCATTATTGCCCATTTCTCATCAATTTGTAAAATTAGCTTGATCAGCAGCTGGAGTGCTTTGTTCTCCCACCTTGTGTGGAAACTGTAGTAGAGGCAGCACATGATGCCCTTGTCTTCAATTAAAGATAAGAGACAATGTGAGTGTCTATCATTAAGTCATTGTGCAACTGCAGTTTGCAGAGCTGAGGTCAGTAAAGAAATAAGAAGGCCTTTTACATCACTTGGGATGGCTCTGGGCCTGGCAGGACTGTGTAGGACACATGCTGAGTCTTCTGGGTTTCTATTGGATGGAGGAGGCACTTTGCACAAGACTGGGACTATCAAGTGTTCAAGGTCTCCCCATCCATCAGGAATCTGTGGTGCCCAGTACATGCTGTCGGGTGGGAGATTCAGGAATTTGGCCTGCTGGGTGTTTTGAGCTCTTTGACAGGGGTCCTGGCAAGAGGGATTGTGCAAAATGCTGCCTTTGTTTCTCCTGGAAGCAAGTCCCTTCCCTCTGCATGTCACAGTACCTTCTGCTGGCACATGGGGAGACAAAGTTTGGCCTCTGTCTCCAGCAGGATCAGCTCCCCATGCCTTAGCAATAACATCTAGCAGTACATTTGGTTTAATCTCTGTATTTGCCCACTCTGTGCAGCCCAACATGTGCAAAACTGGGAATGAATTCAGGGGTGGAGAGAAAGAAATTACCAGGATAGACAGACACAATTCTGTATCTTGTTAGATTTTTCTCATTTAATACAAACTTCTCATCAGCTTGTCTTTAAGGAAGACAACTTTTTGGGGAAAACTAGAAACAGCATCTTGAATCAATGCTGAGACTCGCTCTGTGTTTTCAGCCTGTGCCTCAGAGCCTTACAAATAACTCAAAGTAATAACAACAAAAGGCTGAAGGAAACGTGGAAGTCTGCAAAAAATAAATCTTTTCAAGAGAAGAGATTTTACAGGTGTTCCCCTTACAGCAGCAATAGTGGGAATATAAATGTTAAGGAAAATATTCCACATCTGTGGTTTCAAGGAAATAAAAAACAGTGTTTGCTCAGTTGATTTTAAGTAGCTGTTATACAAATATATATAACATATATGTTGCTATACAAATATAATACATATATATGTTATAAATATGTATGTTGTACAAAGTAGTGGGTTATTTGATCTTAATATTCAAACTGGCTGTAAGCATTTTAAGACTTGCTAGCCTTTGCTTGTTGAAATAGCCCCATGACACAGTTGGTGAGCACCCTTATGGTTGCCTCTATGTGTAGTGTCTGGAATAGACATTGATTAATTTGAGAGTGTGTTTAGTATTAGTGTTACCACAGTTTTCTTAGCTGACTAGCATCACTGGACTAAAAAGAACTAGCCCAGTACCTTTGTGATAATTGGCCAATTGCAGTGATTAGTCTACTGTGACTTCTTATACAATGACTTCAACTATTCTGAAGAAATTCTGTGCTAAGCGTGCCTTTGGTTGCTTCCCTGTTCTGCACGAAAAATTGAGACACCTTCTCTGTTGATGAAATTGCTGAGTACCTGAGGCTAACAAGACCTAAATGTTGATGCTGAGTCTTTTTTAACAAAGCAAAATCTTTACCAAGGACTATAAGAAATATATACTAGAAGTTACACTATAAAAACTGCAGAATGAGGTTGAAGTGCCATCACTTCTCACTGAAGACTGTTAGACGTTGGTTCTATATGGAATGTCACTTCTTTTATCTTAATAACAATACCTTTAGCAATGCTCTTTTTAAACTTAAGCTCTTTTATTTATAAATGTTTTGTTTCCATACTGAAAGGGTGGAAAACAAGTGTTTTTCTGCTGTCCTTCCCTGGGTACTAGTGGTTTGCATTTTGTTATGCACTGCTGGGTACATGACTTTTTGACTACTCCAGCCAGACTCGTGTTACTTTGCTTGCACTTTCAGCTTTATATTCGTTTTTGTTTCAATTTTGCATGTTAATCTGTAGTCCCGAAAAGGAAGGAATTAATGAGTGTTGGCTGCCACATCCATGCAACCATTACCCTCTTAAACTACATATTCTTACGTTGGAGTGAGAGTGAAGGGGTTCTGTACTACCCAAAACCTTCCTACCCTCCTACTGCACAAACAAGCCCTCATTTTAATTGGTATTTAAAACAAACCTCACTGGGGTTTTTGATCATGTAAAATAACCCACTGCACTCTACGACATTTCACAGAGCCCGTACTAGCTCCTTTCAAACACAAAAGCCTCGAAACAGAGACTAAAAAAATTACACTCTAACCAAACTTCACAGTGATCTAATAGATTTGATCTGCTGAGCTCCCCACACTTTAAAGTTATAAGAAAAGAAGGAAGGTTTGCCTGAGTTTTTCACACACAACCTCTCCTCTGCAGTGCAAGTGTAGGTTGCATCTGAAATGGAACAGCTCAAAAGTTAGAGTGGAAAGATTGCAGCAGAATCATTTCCACTGAATCAGGTGTTAATTCTGGAGTTTTCTTTTTAGGAGTAGGAAATCAATATGAAATACATGCTGGTTTTAGATGCCTGCATCCCTGGATGTCTTGCAAAGTGTGAGACTGACTATTGGGTCTTCAAATTATTCACTGTGAATGGACTGTGAAGTACTGTTGGAGAGGAGGAGGAGCATAGGCTGAGCATCTGGATCTGGCTCATTGCCCTGAAAAAAACACTGTGCTGTGCACCAGTGTGGTCCCTATCTGGAACAGGAATGACCTGCTGAGAGCTCAGCTCCCTGCATCATCCCAGCTTTACTGGCCAGCAGCAATACCACGATTTCTGGCAAGGTGTACAGCAGCAAGGGCAGAGGAGGGCACTGGTGTGTGTCTGGGAGGCTGTGTGCAGCAGCCGTAAGGTGTGGCTGCAGAGTCACACTGGTGTACCCAAATTAGATCTAAACCAGCCAGCTTGGGAACTGAGAATTATGCAGGTGCAGCTCAGTAGGGATTAACCCTTCATTCGGAGGCCCACGGGAGGAAGGAGGAGGAGGAGGTGGGCTCTCAACCCCCGATGACCCCTTGCTGCTGTAGCTGCTCTCTTATCAGTACAAAGTATTTGGAGTCCAAATACCTCCTCGGGCACAAAGTTTTGCTTTCAGTGCAGCTCTCAGGCAGCACAAGGGGCTTACAGAGGGCTGAAGAACACATCCACACTGCAGATCCAGTCTGCAGATTCCAGTTATTGGTTTTCTTTCCCCTTCTTGTTGGATATCCTTTCCCTTTTCCTTTCCTTTCTCTTTCAGGCCTTCATTTTATACAGTCTCACTGAAATGTGTCAGTATAAAACCTGCTATTCCTAATAACTATTTGGACTGTTGTAAGTTCATAGATTGGATCCTCCACCTCAGTTTAATCAAAGGTGGCTGTTCCATGTTTGGTGATGTGGTTTGGAGTTTGATCTGCTCAGGAAGACAAGCAGATACAAACTCACTGAATTAACCCCAGTATATGCCTTCAGTACCAAGTTCTTTTTCCAAAGTCTGTTTTCATTGGATTTGGATGACAGTACTGATGTTTGTCATCAAAACATTTGATTAGCAAGATCTAAGCCATTATGAAAGTTGCTGATTTGATCCAGACTATGAGTTACATCCAAAGAGCTAGGCAGACTGTTAAATCATAGAATAGTTTGGGTTGGAAGGAACCTTTGAAGGTCATCTAGTCCAACCCCTATGCAATGAGCTCGGGTATCTTCAAGCAGATCAGGTTGCTCAGAGCCTTGTCCAACCTGACACTGAATGTTTCCAGCCATGGGGCATCTACCCACTCTCTGGGCAACGTGTTCCAGTGTTTCACCACCTTCATCCTAAAAAATTTCTTCCTTTTATTTAGTCTGAATGTACTGTCTTTTAGTTTAAAACCATTGCCACTTGTCTTATTGCTACAGGACCAACTGAAAAGATTGCCCCCATCGTTCTTATAAGTCCCCTTTAAGTATTGAAAGAGGGTAATAAGGTATCCCCAGAGCCTTCTCTTCTCCAAACAACCCTAACAGCAGAACAACCCCAGCTCTTTGAGCCTTTCCTCATAGAAGAGGTGTTTCATCACTCTGGTTATTTTTGTGGCCAAAAAGCTGCCTTTGGGTTCTTGGGCACAGGTATCCAGTGCAATTTCATCTGTGTGAGTGTCTGAGACACCCCTACAGCCTTGGCAGACATCATTGCAGCTACAGGAGATGTGTCCTCCCAAGTGGCAGCAGAAGGTCAGGCAGGATCTGACAAAGCACCTTTTGAGACGTCCTAGACATGTAGGAGAGTGTGAGTAGACAGAGCCCTGAATTCCTAGATGGGTAATTTCCCCATGCAATAGCTATGCTGTCAGTGTTTGCTGAGCTACCTTTTAGGGGTATGTTCTATTTACGTCACTAGGAGGGACGCACTTGGCTTTAGCTCTGCTAAATCCTGACTTTTAGCATGTGCAGGAACGATACAAAGTTGGTCACAGCCATGGCAGTGACCCCTCACTCCTCTCCTTGTTGGCGAGGTCCTGCTCTGTGTGCCTGTCTCTGTTTTGATGCTTATGGTGTTTGTGGCAGCATTTGTTGGGAGTATCAAGATAAAGCACTCTTCTTCACAAAAACAAAACAAACAAACAAACAAACAAATAGATAAAAAAGTCAGTTCATGTTATGGGCCTCTGCATAGCCATTAACAGTGTTTGGTCCCTGTTTTATTAGGACCTAGGGCTACACGGCTGCCTGCACCAGCTAGTGCTTGGCCATGGTGAAAGAAGGGCCAGCTTTCCCTCCAGCACTAACAAAAACCAGGCTGCTTCCCTATCCTTACGAAAATGAGCAGCCCAACTGGACCATCATTCATGGAAAAAACAAGAATTTTCATTAATATACCCTCTAAAAAAAACCCCCAAACCTCAAATATAAACCCCAAAGTGTTTTCTCTTCCTCAACTTTGGGGAGTGATTTACTGCAGCTCCTGCACCAGCTGTCTGTCACATTGCAGCGTGAGAGCTGGGGCTGTACTCACTCCCCACCTACTCACTTGCAGTCTGGGGGTAGCAGGTCACTGAATCCTCCTTGCTTTCGCCCTCAGATGCATGGCCTCTACCAGCCTACAGTGTGGGGTGGGCTTTGCAACCTCATTTTTTCACGTCTGGATGTATAGGACAGTTGTGTTAGATTCCCCCTTTAACAGCTTGGCCTGTGAAATGTGTATTTTGGTATAAACTTTATTGATAAACCTAGTAACAGATTGGCTTTGTGCTCCTTTTAATGCAGCTAACAGTGGACATCAGGTTCAGTGCAAGCACAACGCCATAAAGGTTTTTAACCTTAAATGAAGCACCTTAATTTCAAATTTTAACCTTACATTTCAAATACAAATTTGTATAAAATGTCACATGCAGGTATCTCAAAACACAGTACTTCTGGTGTCTGAAGTGGTGCTTCAGTGCTTACTGAACTGGAAGGAACATCTTTCAAGGAGCACCAGTGATTAATAGTTTTAACGTTTGAGGGTTTTAATTAAGGTACTTTTTGGAACATACCTAAAAATAAGCACTGTCTAGAGGATGCCCTTCTCCCACAGCAGTCATGCAGTTGCCTGCACTTACTATGTCAGGCAGACGAAGGAAGATATATAGATGAATGTACCATATATTTTGAGTATCTTTTTCTCCTGAAAGAAATCAAGTGAGTGCTCACCTGTTTGGCTTGACACACACGTTTCTTCGGAGGCTCTCGGCGTCTTCACAGCATTTCCCATGGTGCTCTCGAATTCTGCCAAGGCTCTTCAGGACTAAACCAAGGGAGACATTGAAATGAAACATCAGACTCGCACCTGCTGTGCCAACGGATGAGAATTGACCTGGTTTGGGTGTCTCCAGTCTTGTACAGTTTTGCTTTTGAGAACTCTTGTGTCAACTTGAGAGTTTTACATACTTGCTAAACTCTCACCACTTTGGTGCTTTTATCAGGGGAATAGCAGAAAACCACAGCTAGGGAAGTTGCTCAGAAGAACACGATGCAGTAAAAGTTTCCATTACCAGTACCTCAGCACAATAGGAAGTCACAGCAAAGCCATGCCCATACAGTCATTTCATACACACAATGTTCTCTACAGCATTTGGAGTTCTGAAGTTACAAAGAAATTAATTAGATTGGTCTATCTGGTTTCCAGCGCCGTGTGTCTATAACGTCACTTTACTGATGAACACTAAGAACGTTATTCAGTGGGTTTTTTTCCTGCTGCAGTTGTGGAACTAAATATTTTGAGAGAGACAGTTGCTTCTCATGGCTTTACTGCACCCATCCTAATTCTCCCTGCCATAGGACAGAGAGAAAAACCCTTTGGATGTGGAGTGTGTCTCATGCTATGGTATATTTTCAGAGGCAGAGGGGAATAAGCTGTATCTACTTGAAATTGCATCTTAAAGCAAGAGAACTCAACATCATTACCTGGCATGTAATTATTTTTTAAAAATATATTTCTGTCATTTGCCCTGTGAAAATGGTAACGGGAACTCCAGCAGCATCGTGTGGGTGTTGTGCATCTTGCAGGCTTCTCTAGCTTAAATATTTCAAAGGTGACTACTGCTTTTGGTGTGCTGCTCTTTATTACAACAGGCTAGAACCCGATGGCTCTAGCTGGAGAGGTGTCTGAAGCGCTACTGCTGAAATCAGTGAGACTTTATTACTAATCACCTTTTGGAATAAGATTGGCAGAGTTAAGTATATTTCTTAGCACCATAAATTTTTGATGTCTTACAGGAAGGTTAGGAAGACACCCTACAGCATGAAATGCTGTTCAAAAGGAAAAGAATTCGTCTCTTATCAAATGCAAGCAGATCAGTGCTAAACCAGATGGTAACGCACAGTTTGACTCCACCTCATCTGATTTTCAAGCTTCTTAGTGCTTGTTCCCAAAGGCTCTTTGCTAGAAGTCTGTATTTCACCAGCCAAATGGCACGTTACCCTTCCACTGTCAGCACTCAGGGACTAGCTTGTGGCACATCTCTAAGATGCAGCTGTGCCAGTGTTCTTCTGACAAGTGTCTGAAATCTGCTTTCACAAGAACAAAAAAACTGCTTCATTGCCTGGTATAAGAAGTCTAGCAGCTGAATTAAAAAGTAGCCTTAAATTTAAATAAACTATTTGGGTATTCATGTTTGAATAAAAAGTTTTCTTGATGGAAAACATAAAATAATTTGCCATTTAAATGCACCTAAATTTCTAAAACTGAAATCGGAATTTGTTTTGGCAGGCACTATCTACTTGCATGTTTATAATTTCCTGAGCTATGAGTATTTTTTTTGCAAGATTCAATTGTAATTTCTTCAACATTTTTCTCAGTTGTATCCCATCAAGAATAAGAGGTATATTCATAGGGATAGTGCAGCCAATACTTAGGCTATAGATATTATAGATATTCCTGGCTCATTGTCAAATTAGCCAGCAAAGTTTCCTGGGCATGGCAACAGAGAAAATAGGACTGAAAAAGTCAGCCAGAGAAGTGAGATAAAGATATATTTTAACAGATAACCTGTGCTGAGCTATGTATTTTAGTAGCTACATTTTTGCAGCACTTCAAAAGAGCAATTCAAATCTAAGTAAACTGCAGCTACCAAAAATTTTGTGCAGTTCCAGATAGGTGCCACGCATGGCAGCATAAAAATCTTGTGCCCATCCATAGTTTTAACACATGCAATTGTTATTTAGATGGGAATAGTACTTGAATTTTGTGTCACAAAATTATGGCAAAATAAAAATAACAGAGTCCTACCTCTATGTACCTCTATATTTTGAGTCTTGGTATTTGAGGGCCAGGAGAGCACGTCGCCCTACTAGTGATCAGAATTGTGACAGTGCTTTCAAGGGCTGTCTTCCTAAAGTTAAGATACAGTGGATACAATTTTCAGGTGTGCCTGAGTCACTTTGGAAAGTGATATGTAGCATTTATACACGATGGAAAGACTTCTGAAAACTTTACATCACGCAGACTTTCTGAAAGCATGGCACGTTTGAGCAAGGCACCTTCATTTTCCTACGTGGTATTTAGGGGGTCTAAACTCTAAACGTTGCTTTAAATGTTGTTTTTGAGGGTTTGCTTATGTGTAGTTTGTACTTAAGGTACTTGCTGTCTAGTCTGGATGGATTGATTAAGTACCAGACAACAGGCATGTGCCTACTTTGTATTTTTGCAGAGCATGTCCCAAACTGGCCTGGCTTGATTCTGCCATACAAATAATTGTTCTCCTCAAAGGGCCTCTGAAGTCAACACAAGAGAACGTGCAGCTCAGTGCTACTACTTCAGATGTGGAAGAATCTTTCTTATGGAAAATACATATGTTATAGAGTACTCACAGTAACAGCGAAGAGCAATGATGGTTTGGACTTTGATGTCACCAGTGTGACAGTTTGCTGTGTCTCATTACATTTTCCATGCTATTTTACCATCACTAGTTACCAGCAGTGACAGCATAAAGTCTTGAAAGGGACAGAGAGTTCAAGCTGTTCTCTAGACTCATGGCACAAGCTTTCGATAAAAATAAGCAAATGGAAAGCTGTGACTGCTGCTGTTGATTCACTTATCCAAAGTGATTTAAAGGAAAATTACAGATATCAGATTAGATTTACCACTAAAGCCGCTTGTCATCATGCATTTGGGCAGAGCAAAGGTGCCTATTGTCCAGTCAAAGGTGGTAGAGTGAGTGCCCTGAGGTATGACTCAACTCTTAGACATTTGAAAATAAAATGAAAATCGAAGAAATTGGAAGTTTTGTTTGAAATGGGGTGAGGGGGCAAAAGATTGTTTCTGCTTGCTGGCTGGCAATGGCTTATCACTGTTTTTAGAGTAACAGTGTATGAGTTAGCATCCTAAGTATTTCTGAACCAACACTGCACATGGCCCTGAGGTGCATGGTAGAACTCAATGGCTCAAGTAGCTTCTGCTTGCGCCGAGCATCAGCACTGCAATACAAGCCCGTTGCATTGTGATAGGGCAAACTATGGTGATTTTATGCAGAAGCAGAATTACAGGAAACTGTACAGCATCTTGTCTGAGCTGATTTTTTATCATTTCAGTCAGTAGCAGAGCAATAGCAGTTTTATAGGTTATATTCTTTAGAAATGGTGCAACTGCTCCAGGCACTCCATCTCACTTCAACTTGGTGACAGAGCTTGGGATACGAGCAGAGGTGGCATCCCTCTGTTGCAGAGAAATGAAATTATGCCAGATCCAAAGAAAATCATTCACTGAGGGTGAATGGGGAAGAATTAAGGAGAGATGATAGAGTCTAAGCTCACCTTGGCCTATCAGCCCAAGCCCTGCACGGAGGACCACGGCTGCTCTTCAGCTCAGAGGCACTGCTGGGCTACAAACCAAACTCTACCTGCTGCTCTCCCTGCTCACAGGCTGCCTCCTGAGGCTTGTGTGGGAATGTGATTTTAACCATTAAGATCATGTTTTCAGTGTTGCAAGCTTTGATCCCCCCTCTCCTTCCCTTTCCACTTGTACACGCGCTCTTTAAGGGAAGCTGGTCCTTGCAGCCATAGCTGTTTGCAAACACACAACTAGTGGGGTTTATTGATCTTCACTGCTTTAGTTTTGCTGCTAAAATTAAGGTGAAAAACCACCCATGGCCCTAGTCTTGACTTCTTTCCTATTTATTAGTGGCAGAGCAGATATAAAATCTTCACCTGTCAAGACTGGAACCTCACTGACCTACATTGTGGGTCAAAAAACCTGTGGCACAATTTACACCTTCCATTCCTGTGTGCAGCACATGTAGCAATAATTTGCAGAGTCTGTTCTCTGAGAAAACATGCTTCTGGAACAGCTAAATAGCATGGTGCATAGGAAAGTATGTCCCTTTATAAGAATTTTTGAATGTTATAGTTTAAAGGATTGAAAATTAGTAAATATAAGGAAATTAATATAGCAAGAGAAATAAGAAGGCAAGATAAGCACCTGCTCTGCCAAGAATCCTGCAGATTAGTAAAATTAGGACATTCATCATTCCTGAGTCGCTATATGCTATTTTATTTTTGTTACCTGATATCCACATCTACACCACCAAGGTCTTAGAATTTAATTCTCACTAAGGTTCACAGGTAATGTCTGAATCCCATTTAGTTTAACAATGAAGGCACCAGCATCCTCTTATTTTTCATGTGGGAAAAAGAAGCAGCTTAGATTTCAGAAGCTGTATATTTTTTGGTTAATTTCCCTTAATCTGTCATTAATCAAAACGAGCAGCCTTTCAGTTTTGAGGCAATTGCACCTTATGCTTAGAAAGAACAATGTAGTTCTGTAATCAAGGTAATTCACAAAAACAAAAACAAAAAAAAAACCCAAACATGAAACAACAGAGAAATACCACATTATGCAAACTGGTAATACTTTGGATAAAAAGCCCACTAATCTGTGGGCTCATATTTTGGGTTATAGTGATATAACTATCACTATATGCAGTTCACTTCAGCGTAAGGTCCTACGGGTCTACCTTACTGTGAGCTTTCAGCAGAAATATTCCTGTCCCTTCTATCTTCAGTACCACTCCTTAGGAAAAGGATCAAGGCAGGCTTTTCTATTTCTACCTTTGGTGGTACGTGAAATCCACGGTCTGAATACTACCACTGTTAAGGAAATAGAACTCCCCTTTATATAAATAAAATTGAAACATTTCTTCCCGTATGCAGAGAATCCAAAACGTATCAGAGCAATGTTTACCTTTAAATGCTAGGCATGATATTCCAGGTTGCAGG